TATATATATATAAATGTAAAAGTTGATTATAATAAAAAGATAGCGTATAACCATTTTAAAATATATTTAGATGTAAAAATAGATAAACAATAGTATATTTTAACTTTATATATATATATATATATATATATATATATATATATATATATATATATATATATATATATATATATATATATATATATATATATGTATATATATATACTGTATAACAAGAAATGACTTTATTATATATATATATATATATATATATATATATATATATATATATATATATATATATGTATGTATATATAATATATATTGTATAACAAGAAATGACTTTTAAGGATATATGTATATATATATATATATATATATATATATATATATATATATATATATATATATATATATATATATATATATATATATAATACATATATATATTTATGAATTTCAATACGTATGTATGTTAGACCCATGGAAGTCGGCCTAACATACAATTTTTAATATATTTACTTTTTGTTTTTGTTAAAATCATTTCATATTTTAATACATTCGAATTTTAAAAGTTTTTTCCATTTTTAACTATTTATTGCTAAAATAATTAATAAAATACCTTATAATATTTTTTTAGTATTTAAATGAGCAAAGTTTGATCAAATCGAGGGGGCTGTTAATTTTATATGGTCATAACTTTTAGGCACAATAATACAAATAAATTAAATTGAAAACTGAAGGTTTATTTAGTATTAGATAGAGAAACTAAGCATTTTATCAAGTCATTGTCATCATGTTTTGGCAGAGGCAGTTAGCTTGTAGGGGAAATTTTGTTAACAATTCATGAAATTTTTTGCAAAACATTTAGAATTGACCAAAGCATGACCATAATTAAATTTAGTTAAAAAAAAAATTTTTTTAATGTATCTCGAAATTTCCAAGACAACTTCATGTTATTAGAGTAATAACATTCTAATAATGTTATTACTCAAGATTGTGAAAATTTATAATGATATGACCTTGAGCTAATTTCATTATAAACTATTAATAAAAGCAGGTTGATTTGATCCAAATAAATAGAGATTTTTTGAGTCAAGTCTTGAATCACTTATTTGATTTGATTCAAAATATTTAGGCTTAGCAGGGGCCTAATATATATAAATATATATATATATATATATATATATATATATATATATATATATATATATATATATATATATATATATATATATATATATATATATATATATATATCCTCGACATGATATTAAATTAGTTTTTTGAAGTAGGTAAGATTTTTTAGTCCTTAAATTAGAGCACACATTGTTTTTGTCACGATTTTTTTATAAAACATTAAATTCAAAATCAACTAAATCGAAAACTAAAATGCTTTTATTTTTATTTTTTTAATACAAGTAAAATCTATATGCATTATGAAAATTCAAAAAAAGATCTAAACATATTGATTTAGATACCAAAAAAATAATAATAATTAAACATTTTATCTAAATTTAAAAAAACAATCGGACTAAAGTTTAGTATATATTTCAAATAATATATTAAAACAATAATTTACCAAAGAAAAACCATAAAAAAAGCATTTCAATATTTTGCAGATCCACCTTTCTTAAATAAGGATTGAAGAAGGCAATTATCTAAAATTTCAATGTTTCTATCAGCATTAAGTCAACCTTCAAATAATTAATAGCATTTAAGTCCTGCATAATTCATGTAGGCCCAAAAGTCTACACTTATATGTATTTATGTATATATATGAATATAACATTTCACCACTTGCTGTCGTGTTTCATCAAGCAAATTAATTTTATTAATTAAAAACGTTTATCTCATTGTGTTGCCCACCAGATAATCCAGATCCATAATGTCATCTGTTTCAGTATAAGGTTTTGAAATATGTGAATATTCAATATTTAACTTATTTGCTATTTGACGAGGAGATAATACTTGGTTTTAAATAAAAATAGATTTGTAACATGTTTTTTCAGAGAATCTCAACCATGATTTTGGAGTTTCATGCTGTATTACTTCACTCGTTATGAGGCTTTTTCAATATCTAATTTCTTTGTGTTTTCATCAGTACTATTTCAAAATTAGAAATTTAGAGTTAATAAATGCTAATGAAAATCAAATTAAATTATCAAAAAAATATTACATTAATTTTAAAAATAAAGCAGTAAGCATTAATTTTTAACGAACAAAAAAAATTTAAAAAAATATAGTCAATGTTATAAAGTTACATATAATTAGGGATACAAATAAAATTTTATGGTAACAACTTGTCCATTAAATAAAAAACGCGATACTTATTAATTAGAAATAATAAAATATTTAAAAAGCTAACTAGTTTTTAAAGTAATTTTAAGCAAACAGGATATATAAGTAAGAATGCTCTAATTAATGGCCAATGGTGTATGTATCATATATTTATATATATATATATATATATATATATATATATATATATATATATATATATATATATATATATATATATATATTATATATATATATATATACATATATATATATATATATATATATATATATATATATATATATATATATATATATATATATATATATATATATATATATATATATTTATATGTATATATATATATATATATTTATATACATATATATATATATATATATATATATATATATATATATATATATATATATATATATATATATATATATATTTATATATATATATATATATATATATACGTATATATATATACATATATTTATATATATATATATATTTATATACATATATATATATATATATATATATATATATATATATATATATATATATATATATATATATATATATATATATATATATATATATATATATATATATATATATATATATATATATATATATATATATATATATATATATATATATATATATATATATATATATATATATATATATATATATATATATATACTGTATTGTATTACATAGTATACTATGCTTGGACATATATTATTATTTTTAATATTTTATTATTTTTCAGAGTTTGATTTGTATGCATTAATTGTGTTTGCATACAATTGTTGTAATCGTGTTGTAATATAATATGCACACAAATTTATTGGATACAAATTGTATATAATATATAGTTAAATGATTATGATATATTATAAAAACTATATTTTATAGTTTATATTACCTATATTATAAAAACAAATATAAATTAAATGCTATATAAACTATGTAATATAATACATTTATATTTAACTTATATATAAATATTTTATCTTACATACTTTATAAGTAACTTGTGAACTTTTTAGCCTTTTTTTTTTTTTTTGCATTTATAGAATAGTCATTCACATATAATTATATATTATAATTTATATTATAATCATTCACATATAATTATATATATATATATATATATATATATATATATATATATATATATATATATATATATATATATATATATATATATATATATATATATATATATATATATATATATATATATATATATATATATATATATATATATTAGCTATATACCTTAATATAAATGTATCATACATCTACAAAAGTAGTGTTGGGTGAATTCTATTTTTGTTCAGAAAAAAATTGAATACTCAGATCTGAAAACAATTTCAAATCAAGACAAGACTATTCGAAATAAAAAAGTAAAAATTATTAAATTCTATCGCTCAGATTTTTAGAAAAACAGTTTTGAAAATGTAAACAAATCACGCTTTTAACAGTCAGATAAATGTAGCAGAAAATCACAGTTTTTTATATATTTAAACATCTTTATATTGTTTTTATCATTTTTGAATCAACAATTCAATTATCTTTATTATTATTTCATTCTATCAAAAATATGCAAATAATAACTACTAAGTAAAACTTTAAAAATATTGTTGCTACTCAGAAAAAATTTTGGTATCTAAAGGCCGTCACCATCTTTAAAATTATAATATTTGAATTTGACACTGCGCTTGCGTATAATAACTTTCCACATTTAAACGACCGTGTAGGCAAATGTTAGCCATTGAACATTAACAAAAGTTTTTTACATTATCAAGCGCTATCACCTTAAAAACATACTACAAATTTATTCATCCTAAAACGTCAAAATATAATAAAAATTTAGCACAAAAAACTGTATGAAAAAAGCATGATACTTCTTGCGACGGTGTTGTCGGTTTCTGCATATACCACTCCGTATTACATATTAAATACTAAGTGCTACCACACACATTTTTATTAAAATGTAAAATGAAAAAATGTATTCGAAAAATATATTTGAAGAAACATAACAAACGTCATCAAAATATTGACAGCACATCATCTGTTTTTTTTTTTGTTTTTTTTTTTAAAAAACGTACTTATTTGTTTTGCTTATCTAACGTCGTTATGTAACACAGCATCTTTTTTTTACTTTGTAATTTCATTACCGTATTGAATTCGTTCTTAAATTTATCAATAACAATTAAAAGTTAAAAGCAATAATAGTCTTTTACTGGTATATGTTTTTATCTGATAAGGGTATTTATTTGTTTGTATTATTATAGGTTATTAGAACTAAACGGGCCCATAAAACGAGCTTTGCTGTGTTGAAGTCAAAATACTACTCAAAGCTTTTACTTTTTACAACATAATTTTAGCTCAACGCATTAACAAACTCTATTCTTATCTATCACAGGAAACATTTAACAATCATGTTAGAAATTTATATGTAAAACATTTATTTGTGAACTAATGATTCACTGAGTTTAAGTATTATTTCTTAATGAGTTTGGTTGAGGGGGATATAGTCTTATACTTTTTTATATTGCTACTATGGAGGAGGGTACCACCCCCTATAGCTATGTTACTGAGCTCATAATGCAGAATATAATGATTTATTACAATATGATAATAAAAAAGATAGGTACATAAAGATTTTCATGAATAATTTTTTTTAATGTTTTACAAATATTAAGAAAAAAAAAATTACCTTGAAGTATTTCTTTTTCTCCACAAATATTTTGTTTTTTAAACAAACCTTTTTTTTTCTTCACTAAAACTATGTTATTGTCGTCACTGTGCTATTGTTTCAAATTTTTTTTATAAAAATTTGTGCAATAAAACTGTTCTTATTTTCTTGTTGTATTTCGTAATCGCTTAAGCTGCTTAAGAAATTAATTTACTTCAAACATCCAATAGGACGCTGTTGTAAACCCGCATTTATATTTCGTTAAAATTAAAAAGACAAAACTTTTACAGTCAGTAAGCAAAACATAGTCAAAAAGCTAGACAGCCAAAATTTAATTCTGAAATTTAATTACGCATAGTATTAGTTATATGAGGCGTATTACAACTTTAAACATTTAACTTCATTTATTTATTATCGAAATATTTAAAATCTGGTTTAGCAACAGAAATCACGTAACAACAATTGGCCGATTAAGCAAGCGCGCTAACATTTTGTAATTCACATAAGTGTTGCTCAAGTGTTACTTAAAAAGATTATTTATTAACACCGGATGGTAAATAATTTCTATATATTTTCAAAAACTGTTCAAAAAAGTTTTTTAATAATTATTAAAGTTTTCATATATAAAAAGTAAAAAAATTATTAAAATAGCGAAGGTAGGATTTTTGGAATGTTTTAAATATTTTGTATCCAAATATAGTTTTTCTATCCAAAAAAGAAAGTTTACCATAAGTAAGGCTGTATTATATAAAAAAAATACAAAATTATAATAGATTAAACTAAGAATCACAGATATAAAGCTAAATTTCTGATGTTAGATCTATATATAAAGTATCTGCTTTAACAGAAGTTTTTGAAAGAACTTTTATAATAAAATATCTAAATTTACCATACTTTTTCCATTATTAAGGGTTTTTGAAAAGATTTTTTAGAGAAAAAATTCCAATAATTTTTCTTTTAATAAATCTAGTTGCAATTAAACTTTTTTTTTTTTTTTTTTTTTTTTTTTTTTTTTTACCTATCAATTTTTTTACTATAACAGAAAACATACATATTATAAAAAGTAATGAAAAGGACTTCTAAAAGATTATATTAATCTTATCACGAAGCCCTGTAGCTGTAACTATATCTCTCCGCTAAGCTTAACGGAGCGTTTTTCTGAAATTACATTAAAATATTTTTAAGAACTAAAATGACAAAAACTTTATTTAAATTTGTTTAAATAAAATTAATTTTAGAATAAAATATTTATGTTTGAAAAATTATATTAATAAAGAATTTTTTTCTTAATTTTAAAAAGAAATCTTTGACAAATGCTCCCTTAAGCAACCGGAGAGATAACAATACGGGGAGATAACTATATAGTTTATAGGTTTCTAGGATAATCAAGTAATACAGTTTTGCAATTTTCCTAGTGAAGTAAATTACGGAAAACTAATTTACGCAAATTCATTGCAAAGTTTAAAATTAAATTAAATTAAGGAGATAAAATCATTAGAAATAAATAAAGATGTTTTTAATGTAAAATAAAAAAATGTAATCAAAAGTATAATTTAGAAACATAACAAACGTCATCAAAATAATGACAACACATCTGTAGCTTTCTTTTAAAACAAACCTATTTTTTAGCATTTACCGCAGCTGCTGAAACTTGAGCACTAAGTTAAGATCATCTGAGATAAGAACTTCAAGAGCTCTCACTAAATGAGTGACTTCGATTGCAAGTGGCATACCGTCTGGTACTGACATGAAATAGTCTCATTTTGATACTTTTTTTTCTCGGCCAGTATGGATGACTTACATTTTTCAGTATTAAATGTCATGAGCCAGCAATGAAACCATTTAATAGTTTTGTCTAAGTCTTGCAGACTCACCGCGTCCCGGTCAGATTTTATGACGCCAATTATTATGCTATCATCAGCGTAGAGCTTGATCTGATGTTCCAATATGTCTGGAAGATCATTAATGTACAGAACAAACAGTAATGGATCCAAGACCGAACCTTGCGGTACGCCGCTAATAACGTTTTTTCAATCTGATGTACGCTCTCCGATTACGACTCTCTGCTGTCTTCCTGAGAACCATGCTTTAATCCATGCGTGAAGCTCCTCTTTGAATCTGTAGTTTTAAACTTTGTAGAGAAGTCTATTGTGTGGAACTCTGTCGAAGGCTTTTGCCAGATCCGTGAAGATTATGTCTGTAGTGTATCCCTGGTATACAGCTTCAGTTAAAAGTTCAACTGTTTCCAGAAGGTTTGTCAAGTACGACTTTTTGAAAACAAAACCGTGTTGTTTTTTTGATATAAGACCGTTTATAATACAATGATTTATGGTCTCGAACGAAACGTTCCATATCTTTACTAGGAATACTAGTAAGTGATACTGGTCTGTAGTTAGATGCTTTTAGTTTGGAGCCTTTCTTGAATATCGGTGTTATATTTGAGCGCTTCGAGTTGTTTGGCGCCTCACATTTAGAAAGTGAAGTCTGAAAAAAAAGGGTAAGTGGAACGGAAAACGGAACTGCATACATTTTGAGTAGCCTTGAATTGACACCGTTGATGCCGATCATCTTGTTCCCGTCAAGGTTTTCAAGTCTTTTTTGTACTTCATCACGTACAATAAACTGCGTTGTACATGTCACTTCCATCCTGGGTTTGAAATATGGCATTGGACCTTGTGGCTCAATTACGAAAGCTGGTTGAAAGTAGTCATTTAAAATTTTACATATTTCCTCCTCATCAACTGTGCTTTCACCTGTACTGTCCTCTAAAACTCGTATTTGGTATTTAACTTTTTGTATTTTGTTAATATAGGCGTGAATCAATTTTGAACTATTCTTTGTGACTTGGACTATTGTTGATTCGTAATCTAGCACTGCTTTTTTAACTTCTTTTGCGACCTGTTGGCATGATTCGTTATATTTTTTACAATGGATTTTGTGCGTAAAGCGCCCAGCAGCTCGGTATTTTGCCCACAAAGTTCTTTTTTTAGTTATTGCCTCTTTAACTGTCTGTGTTACCCATGAGTTGGCAACTTTGACAGAAGAAGTATTTGTAGTTGGTATGTAAAACTTGCAAGCGTATTCTCTCTTTTGACAAAAAACATTGTAACATTCGTTCATTGAGAGGCCACTAAATAAAGTTTTCCAGTCAAGCGAATCTATGTATTTTGATATTTCCGTGTACTCTGCTTTATTCCATTAATAGCGTGTCCGCGTACTTAATTGATGCCTCTTTTTAACGTTAGTGGTCTTAAAAATCCACGAAATTAAGCTGTGTGCTTGTCCTTATATTGTAGCCTCTAATGGCGTTTCCTCTTTGATGTCAACAACACAATCCGGCTCGTCACTGATTATTAGGTCTAGAGTACTTTTTGGTGCGCTTAGCAGAGAGTGCCTATTGTTGGAAACGTCATTACTTGTGATAGGTAATTATCCGCAAGTCATGCATGAAAAGCCGTATTGCTAGGTCAGTTTTCAGAAACATGAGCTACTCCTCCGCCTACGTCTATTTGTTCGTAACTTGTGCGTGCGAAATTAAAATCACCGTAAACCAGCATTGTTACGCATCCAATAATGTTCAATGCTGCCTTCGATTTAGCTAATGACGCTATTGTCTCAAGGAGCACCGTGTTGTTTAGATCCGGTATATTGATCCAAGAAAAATATTCTCATTGCCAAAAGCAATAGATCTCTAAACTTGTTTAGTTTTTTTTTTTTTTTGAGTTTACTTGGCTAATTTTGAGTTTACGAGCACTGATTCTATTCTTGATGTAAAAAGCCACACCACCACCACAATAGCCTCAATCTTGTCAATACATGTTATAACTTGCCAGTTCTGCTTATAAAAACTCATTAAATCAGGTCTCTGCGACAAAAATTATATCCGGGATGGCGTTTTTAGATGTTGCTTTTAATTCGGCAGCTAATTTATCAAGTTATTGTCTGTTGAGCGAGCATGGATTATGAGCCCAAAAACGAAGGTATCCGTCATAAGGAGCTGTTAATGTACTTATGCCATTGAGCTTAGCTTAATAGGCTTTATGCAAGCGTTGGGGTCGCGTTCGTCAAGATGGTATTGGTGGTGCTGGAGGCGGTGTTGGTAGCCTTGATGGCCTTAAAGGCAGAAATAGATATATTGTATTTTTTACCGTCAGCCAGCTAATTGCCTTATTGACGTCCCTCTTAAGAGGGTTAAAACTCGTGAACAAAATAATAAAAAATAAACCGTTTTACAAAGATCCGTTAGGGTAAAAAGCCAAATATAAAGTATTTACATCCGATAAAAAAACTAATATAAAAAACAGAAGTAATATAAATCGAATAAAACGAAAAAAAAAAAATTAAAACGAGAAAGCGAAACAAAACAAAAAAGCGAAATAAAACGAAAAATCGAAAATCGAATAGGTTAAGATTACCTAAAATAGTTCTTTATGTCAGCAACTAGATTGAGATTCCCATTTTTAAAAATATTTCTAATCTCATTAATGTGTTTATCTTGTGTGTTATTTGTTTTTATTATTAGAAGTTCTTTCTTTAATATACTTTTAATTTTATCATCTAGTTTCTTGAGCAAAAATTTTATGCTAAATATTTTCTTTTCATAATATGATTTCATCCTGTTAAAAAATATTTCTACAATTAGAGTTTCCAGTAAAACATTTCCAAACTCTCTATCATGTTTCTTTATACTATATCCACATAATAAAAATTTAAGAGAATTATGATGGGGGTATTCAGAAGGATAAAGTTGATCGAGAATGTCTAAGACAAAAAGTATTAAAGGCTGTACTTTATTGCAATTATACATCATATGCTCTATAGTTTCGTCTTGAGTTCCGCATTGCGGGCATATTTTGTCTACTCTTAGTTTCCTATTAAACATATTTTCATTTGTTGGCAAAATAAAATGCGCTATTTTAAATAGTATATCACTTGCTTTTTTATTTGTGTTTCTTTTATGTATTTTTAAAAAGAACTGTTTCCAGTCGTCTTCGTTTAGTGTTTGCATGCTGTTGTAATCACTAAATGCCCATTTTTTATATCTT